AGTAATTATAATTCACAACAGCATCTTCAGCCAGTTGTCTTTGCTCTTCTCCAAGTTATGGCTCCTGCCATTAGACCTTCCCAAAAGGCTCCATACAATTTTCTTAAAAAGTATTATGATGGAACATTCAACAAAATTAGCTTCATTGGTACATTTTTGGTCAAGACTCTGCTGGTTATCATGTGTCTATCTGGTGCATTTTAGGACATAAACCAAACCCTGCAAGACTCCACACCACCCCTTGTATACATCCCACTAACAGTCCTAAATGATGAACCTAATGGAATGTGGTCAAGGAATAAAACCAAGAATTCTGCACATCATACAAGATCAAAAAGCATTTTTAAATTCAACACTGAAGACATTGAGTAAGAAAATCCTCATTTGAAGACAGCTGAGGAGTCAGGGAAGTTACCAAATATTCCAAGGCTGCTGCAAGGCGGCCAAGACAGACAGACAGACAGACAACAATACTTCATCACTCAGGCCACTTGCCACAAAGTTCCGTTTATTGATGATTTTCACTGCAACTTTGTTACAGGTGCTCTTCTCAAATGCCAGTTTGACTTCTCCACAGGCACCACTGAAACAAGAGCACAGCTCTGTCAAAAATCTGTGTAACAAGTGCAGGCAAATGAAAGCGTAATTTGGAGCTGGCTGCTTTCTAACTTTCTGAATAAGGCACATTGCCTGCTCTGAGGAAGTACTCAACAGTTAGAAAATCTACAGCACTTCTCTGGAAACATTCAAGAGTTAGAAAGTCTATTTAGACACAAGTCTTGTCAAGGGCCATTCGTTCAGGATTGCAGGAGTCCATGCTCTGTTTGTAGCAGAAGTGCTGGCAGGCAGGGAGGACAAGCTCTGTCAGCATTTCCTTTATGCAAAGGCATGTAGGAGAAGAGAACTTAGGAATGAGTTCTCTTGACACTGAATTGCACAAATCTGAGGAACAGATATGACAATACTTGTATTTTTACTAAATAGCAGTTATCTTACAGAAATAAATTCTTCTGTTTTCCACTCAGATTTGTTTCTACTTAATTATCCACCTCCAGATTCTTCACTGACCAACTGTTTCCAAAAGACAAAAAATAGCCCCCATTTAAAATAGCTTCTCTCTCCTTTTTCTTGGACAGTTCTTTTCCTTTTCATCTGAAGGCCTCAGCAGTGATGTTGTAGGAAGCTGTCTTCTGACATAAAGTTCTTCCTTCTACTTCTAATAACTGAGTAAATTGATATGCAAACTTTAAAAACACAGTAAGAATTTACAGACTCCATTCCCTTCTACAGAAAAAAACCCCAACCAAAACAAAGCAAAACCTGGTTTTTGCAGGTGGTGGTAGGTTACAAACCCCAAACCAATTAGAGAGACAAAGCCAAAATTCCTGTTTAAATTGTTGTCAAGAACATATTCACATGTTATCATTCATACATTTTTTCCTTTTTTCTTTTAAAACAGCAGCTCAGTTAATACTGGTAATAATTCCAGCACAGGATACTGATACTGATAATGAAGTTAACCCTTTCTACTGAGGGAAGAAGGATGCTTACCTCCCCAAAGTCTTTGACATGATATATTTCTCTCTGAATTCTTTAGGAAACGTCATCTGATCATCCACCGTAAGATCAGAAAATACAAACACTGGGAAGACAAGTGGAGATCGTTTTCCTATTACTAGGTTTAAAATTTTTATTATAACAAACAGCTATGTTTTGTGAGCTTTTATAATCAACAATATAACTGAGAAAATACTGCCTGCTACAGGAAAATCTAAATATATGCTATAAATTAAACCAGCTATGGGTTAGCAAGGTGATCTTATTGCTAAAAAAATTACATTTTGGGATTAAATTTGCAGCAGTCTTTAACTAATTAACTACATTTAAGGACAAAAGGAGTAAAAATTTCAATGTCCCAGCAAAGATCAAAGAGAAGTAATAATCAAGAAGACACTTAGTGGAAAATCAAAAACAAAGAAACAGAAGCCCAGCCCTATTTATTTTTAAGAGGATTTTCTTTTTATTATGCATCTGCTTAGGTATCTGGGGGCGTTTTTTCAACTTTTCTTGAATAGTCTGTTTCCCCTGTTCCCACCATCATATGCACAGCTATTGAAGCCCAAAAGGGTTTCAAAAAAAGGAAAAAAAAAACTATAAAAGTTTCTACTCTAGTAAGGTGCTACCTGATGCATATTTCTTTAAGTTTTCTTTTTCAGGTTTTTTCCTGGGGTTGACATGGATAATTTTTATGTGAGTAGTAAACACCTATTAAAGAGATGTGCTCATGAAGCAGCTCAGCTCCCAAGAAACATACTCAAATTAATGCAGAAACAACCTCTTGGTCAATACATGAAAAATCTACTTAAGTTAAAGCACATTTTACCCTTATTGGTATGTACAGACAAAGCAATTTCAGAGTTGTGTGTCAGTGGAAGCCTCCTCCCTCTTCCAACGAGCTCTCTATTAACAAATGTCCCATTTGCACTGTGGTCTTCAATGTAGGCAACAAAGGAATTTTTTGGACCCATTTCCTCAAAGAGAAAAAAAAATGGGGAAGATGACAGTAAAGAACAAATGACTTTACAATAAAGACATGATACACTAGAAATTTACTATTGTTGACTCAAGAAGTGAGACTGAGTTTATTTCATAAAACATATGAATGGGGTATTGCCAAAAGTCACATTAAAGGAGTCAACCCTGAAGATACTTTAATTTCTTCAGGATCTCTGCCCCAAAGTCTCTTTTTGAATTAATAGACAGAGTTAACATTTTTAGCACTTACCCTGAAAATTCGGAAGTGCTTCTTGCTATAGTTTTGGTAGAAGCCAGTCTCAGACAATCCCAGCTTAGAAAAACTGTAATCACAGCTTTTGTCCCTCCCAAACCAGTACTCCTCATTGACACAGTCTGCAGAGGAGGGGCGGGTACAGCAGAGAGAGAAGACAATGTTGCAGGAAGTTAATAACTATGGCATTACAGAATGATTCCAAATAGTAATGGATAGGATAACAGAGACAAGATTCTTCCTGTAGAATCAAGTTTGTCTTAACTCATACAAAGCACCACACCCTGTCAAGTCCTTTAATAATTTTACCCTCTTTAGCAGTAGTATTTTTCAGTTCACCATCAGCAATATAGAGACATATAACTAAATAAATTAAATTATAAAATTTGTTTTAAATGAAGCATGTAACAAAGAATATGAACACCCCAGAATTTCTGTAAGTCAATGGCAGCTGTGTATCTGAGAACTCAGCGTAAACACTGGGATGTAGTATGGAATAAAACATTATAGCAAGAAGTTCCATACCTAAACTTGCTTGTAACTAATTTGAAAATGAAAGGACACTGCTCTTCAGCAAGCTGCTCAGATCTTTTCTGAGATCCTACAAAGAAACCAAGAGATTTATTACAGCATGCACCTACCACAGTTGCTGAAACCTTTTCCAAGTGCAAAGAGTCGACCCCAAGGCTGAGGAACCAGCTCTTCAGATTCCTGGTCCTCAGGGATGGACGGAAGCTCCTGAGTGGGAACAGTGTCCAAGGAACTGAGAGTCCCAGAACTTAAGGAAGACTGACTAGTGCTCTGTGACCCACTGGAAGAACTGGTACCACTCTGTGGCTGCTGGGCACTCTGAGACTGCTGTGCTTCACTTCCAGTCTCTCGAGACATGTTGGCTTCAAAGAGAATGTTAAAGAAACCGCAATTACTACAGCAAAGTAAAACTGGCAAACACTCACACACCGCACTATTCATGTCCAAGTCCATTCTCAGCCTCAAAGATGCAAAACTTACAACCAAAGCGTGCATGTCTGGGTTACAAGCAAATTCCCAGGAACTGTGCGAACCAGGATGGTTTTCCTTTTAAAAGACAACGTGGGGCGGCCTCTGCTGGTTCTAAATCAGAACTAACCCTGATTAATTCCCGGATTGCTGCCGAGGTCATACAGGCACGGGCTGCGCTCTGACAGAGCATCCCCGCACGGAGCAAGGGACCACGGCTGGTCCCCAGCACAAGGAGGAAAACTGAAAGGCATAAGAACTGCAAAGCGACATAGGTTTTCTTGAAAGCCCCCGAGAGATTTATCACACCTGTTCACAATAAGTGTACAAAACCTTGCCAGATCCAGACACTCACCGCAGCCCCGGAAAGAAACAGCCCGAAATTCAGAGCCCGCGGTGCCTCCTTCTGCACTCAAACGCTGCCCCAGCCCCCCTGCCCCAGCCGGCTCATGAGCATTCCAACCTTACCAGCTGTACATGGGTTTTTAGCTGGTTGCCATACAGTTTAATGCATACTTCTCCTTATCGCTTTGCTACATTTCATTGCGAGCCATAAACCCACGGCAGCTCCCAGGTTGCCTCCCCCGTCCCGCTCGTTACAGGTGTTTACAGACACGGGCGAGGCGCAGACAGAGCCGAACCACGGCACCATCCGGGCTGGAGAAGAGAGGCCAGCGAATCCCACCGCTCCCCGGCACCGCCAGTGCCACCGTGCCCCGTGCCCTGCTCCCACATCCACACGGCTGCGGGACCCTCTAGGGATGCTGGCCCCACCTCTTACCTGTGCAGTCCTTTCCATACAGGAGCTTTCCCTCGCGTCCAGCCCGAGCCTCCCTCTAAAGGCTCAGACGGCGGGGCCGGGCCCCAGCGGCCGCCTCGCACCGCGCGGCCCTGCCCGCCAGAGCACTGCTGCCCCGCACCGACACCGGCACCACGGCCCCGCCGTCCCCACCGAGCACTGCGGCCCCGTGCCCGGCGGCACAGCGCGGCCGTCCCGGGAGAAGCAGGGGGAGCAGCCTGCGGCGGCCCCGGGCCGGGAGAGGCGGGCAGGGAAGGGAGCGGGGACGGGCCGGAGCGGGACCCGAACTCACGGCTCCCGGAGCACGCGGGGGTCGGGCCGCGGCCGGCGTGCGCGCTGCGCGCGCGCCCCGAGCGCAGCCAATGAGCGGGGGCGCGGCTCGGCTGGGCGCGCCTGGCGCTCCGCGGGGCCGCGCTGAGCCGCGCCCCGGGGCCGCCGTGCTGGAGCTGCGGAGCTCCGCTCCCCAGCGGCGATGGGCCGCTCCACTTCTGCCCCGGCTGCCAGGCTCTGCAGCCGCCGGCGCCGCGGCCTGACCTCTTCCGCCTGATGGACTGGTGAGTGTGGGCGGGGCGGCCGCGAGCCCGGCCGGCCGCGGCTCTCACCCGCCCTGTGTCCTGCAGCGACCGCTCCTTCCGCATCGACCCGGGGCAGCTGCAGCGGCGGTTCCGGAGCCTGCAGCGCGCCGTGCACCCCGACCGCTTCGGCAAGAGGCCGCCGGTGAGCCCCGGGCCGGGCGGGGGAGCCGGGCCGGGAGGGGCCCGCGGGGCTCGGTGACCGCCGGAGGAGCTCGCCTTTAGCGTTGGGATGCGTGGCGGGGTCGCAGTGTCGAGTCCCCACGTCTCTCCCGCTCGGGGAGTGAGGGGATTCGCCTGTGTTTGTCTTTCGGTGCTCAGAAGAGGCTCTGGCACGGATTTGCGGTGGAGGCGGACGATGAGCGGCCGCTGCGGTTCGTCAGGCCTTAGCTGAGTGCAGTGCCACAGCTCCCCGCTGCACAGAGCCTTCTCCGTTCCACACACCGACCGATGTGGGGACGCTGGCGTTCCGCATGTAACAAAGTGTATTTTGCCACTTGTTATTAGCTTCCGATTATTTGCCATCCATTTGCAGAAAGAGCAGTACTACTCTGAGCAACACTCTTCCCTGATCAACAAGGCCTACCAGACCCTGCTGAACCCTCTGAGCCGGGGCCTCTATCTAGTAAGGTCTCCGTTAGGTATTGCAGTGTTCTCTAACTAACCCTGGGGGCTGGTAGGGATCCCACCCTCGATTCAGTCCTTCATGTGCTAATTTGCATTCCCCTGAAGAGAATCACCAGAGATTGAAGGGAGACCAGAACCAAGTTTCTCCAAAAATTAATCAGCATTAATCATTTGCTACTCATCTCACAGTAATTTGTCGTCCACATCACATGTAGTGTTTGGCCATGGCTGCTCATTCAGAATTTCAGTCTGACCCATGTCAGCCTTTTTTATGGTTTTTTTTTTGTCTGGGTAACTGCTGATTTTTATGGTCAGACTATGTATGGAGTTAATTTTCAGACTGACGCAGTGCACTGTAGGTTTATTGAATGTGAATCTGAGTATGCCCCACTAAGAGGTGTTAGAACATGGGCTGGACTCGATGATCTTAAAGGTCCCTTCCAACCTAGAAATTCTGTGATTCTAAGAGACTTAATATTAAAGAAAATAGTTTCCATAAAAACGGATGTGGGAATATTTATTTTCAAATTCCCATTTCCTCTGCCAGCTGGAGCTGAGTGGAGTGGAGCCAGCAAAAGAGACAGACTGTGATACAGACTCAGCATTCCTTACGGAAGTCATGGAAATTAATGAGAAACTAGCAGAGTCCAAAAACAAGGATAACCTTGAAGAAATTGAAACTTCAATTAAAGGTAGGTTATGACTTGAGGGGTTTGTACAGAACTAATACACTGAATCTTGTGTAATACATGAGTCTGAAAGCTTTAAACTGTGTTGGTATATTTCTTGTAATGTCTTCAATTTGTGTTCGTCTGGAATTGACTCACTGCAAAAGCTTCTGCCCTGTTCCCCTCTTTTCCAGTGTTGACTTTACCTATTTATGCACCTAAACATTACATGTCTTGCGAACATTTGTATAACAGAACCTATTCTGATGTCAAAATAAATATATATATAGACAATAAAAAGGAATTTACTCAGCCTTCATCAGGTTAGTCAATTGTTCCAAAGAAAAAACCTGTCAGAATGAAGTTGAATAAAATGCTTGTCTGACCATACTGAATAATGTTATTTATACAGTTATAGTTCTTATGGTTATTTATGCATTGTAGTTCTTTCACCTTCTTCATCTGGCAGCCATTATATTAAGTGGTTATTCTCCTTTCACAAGCAAATTTCTTTTTATATTGTTGGTGATACCAAAAACATTTGGTTTACTGATATATTCTTTGCAATAACAGCTATGTGTTAAAAGCAATTACAATAACTAGAATAAAAACTGAGTAGCACAGGAGAAAATTAAGTGTAGCAGGGTAAACTGATATACCAAAAATAAGTTAGATTGCTGGGAAATTAGTGACCATTGGTGTGCATTGGAATTGCTGTCAGTATGCCTGTTTAAATAAAGAAATACATGTTTGAAATGATAATTAAAGCTGCATTGACAGCAGTATAATGAAAAACTCACTTGGCTCCCAAAGGCTGAAACTAGTAATGAACTTTCCCAACACAGGCAGTCAGAATGCAGTGGTATCAAATATCCTAAGTATATAAAAAAGTAAATAAAATAATTTTTTTTTTTTTTTTGCAGTTAAGCAAGAAGAACTGACCAGAGAGGTGACTGCAGCTTTTGAAAAAGGTACCTATTTTATGAAGTTTTTAGCTGCCATACATACTTGTCAAATGCTTAAAGCTCCACATTCTCTTACTGGCAAATATTTCCTGAGCTATGGAATAGAAATACTGCATTGACAATGGTTCTTTGTTAGGTATTTAGAATAAGTACTTCTAAACTGACATTCCTGCTGATTTGGGAAATTCAGGACCTCACATTAAAAGCAAAGTCCAGTACAAAAGTTCCATTCATCTTGCATCTAAATAATCATTTTGAGAGAGAATGTAGATGCTAAGAAATTGTTTTGTGTGTCTCCCAGAATGCTGGGAAGGACAGACTTTTATCTTAGACATATTCTGAGGTTTCACACTTGAATTTGGGAGGGTTGTTCTGCAGTTCTGGAGCTGCAGCAGAGCAGTGAGTGCTGTTCTTGGCAGCGAAAGCCACAGCTGCTGTGTGGCAAGTAAAGGCCTGTTCAGCATAAGGCTTTGGGGACTTCCTGTGCAGTAATCAACATAACTTTATTCTACAACCAGTGGATAGGCACAAGCTTGAACCATTCCCAAGCTTCTGAAGCTGGGAAGAAACCTTTGTGGTTGTGTGCCAGGTCCAGAATGCCGCAGGTTTGGCAGGGGTGGGTGTGTGTAACTGTAAACATCACGGTGGTGCTGGCTGGGCCTGCCTATGAGGAGTTACATTTGTCTGTAAATCATAAATCACCCTCCCCTTTAACTGAGCAGAAATTGTTTCAATATCAGTTTTGGAATTGGCACTGTCCAGACCAGACTCCTCCTCATTTGCATTTTTCAGTTATGTCAGTTGGTCTATTTATACACGTTTTAAACAAAAACATTTGTCTTGCCTCGTGGTAGAGCAATACTGCAGCCACTTTACAGGAGTCATTAAAGAATATATTCATTCACATTTCTTTCCCAAATTGTTCATTGTTACAGGTTTTGTGGAACATTTGAGCTGAGATGTTCCCACACTATCTGAGGTTAAAACAACAGGCAGCATGGTTTTAATAGTGTGAGTCCTTGCAGCTCACAACTCTTGGTACTAAAGCAGGTGCTGTCACTGAAATCTTGAGATTCATTTTGAAAATGCCAATTCACCTCTCCCTCTGTAAACCAGTAATGTTTTATTTCATTTCAGATGATCTTCAAGAAGCCAAGAAGCTGCTAGCAAAAATGAAGTATTTTGCAAACATAGAGGATAAACTAAAGGCCAAGAAGATCCCTTCCTGATGTTGCCTTCTTAGCTATTAAGAGTTAGTATTATTTTCAATTAAACAAATGGTTTTGTTACCAAAATCGGACCAAGGGTGTTTGTTTCCTATACTTCCATTAAAAGCTTAATTCTGAGAGGAGGAAAATAAATATAAAAGAAATTCCATGCTTGCTGCAGCACTTGGATAACAGATGGCATTTGGAAATGCTTACATCCAGGAAAAGTTGTACTGTCCTGGCAGTGGCAGAAATGGAAACAAATACCAGAGAGGCACACAAACTCCACATGTGAGATTTCTTACTTCCTAACATGTGAAGAATTTATTTTAAGTTGAAAAAGAGTCCAGTAAAAAATACTGGAGAGGGGGCAGAAGGCTCATTCAGCATGTCCTGCAGGCTCCCTGTAATTTAAAGGTTAAAAGTATTTAATTCCTGTCATCTGTCCTCTCTGCCACTTCATGCTTTTTGGTATGTAGATCTCAGTCTGATGGGAACTAACCTCCAAAACTAGAAGTAGTTTTACCCTGTTCCATGGTTTAAAATGTTAAGATGCTAGGTTAGGGGGAAAAAAAATAACCAAATTGAAACTCCAGTCAGTCTTTTATCAGGATACAAGTTTTTATTACAAATACCACTAATCAGAGAGGTGCTGTACTTTCATTGCACAGTGCAGTAGTAGGACTGGATGAGGAATGTCTTTAAGGCTTTCAAAGTTACATAAGTGGAAAAACAGAAACTAAATACCACTATTTCTACATAAACTGGAATATTTCAAATATCAGCTGTCAGTTATCAGTTCTTGTGTGGGTTTTAACAAGAACTCACCATGTTACACTCAGCAAAGCATTTGGATACGCCCAATGACCCAAACTGAAGACAGGGCTTGAAATGTACGAAGAGTTGCTGAATTATCTGCAGAAATCTGCCAGAGGGGCTCACTGAACATCCTCCCTGGCATTTCTGCATCCCTACAGCAGCAGGTTACAGCTAAAGATGAAGTTTTCTGTGGATAATACAATATATTGTTAATTGTATTTCAGCATACACGTTTTAACAGCGTTTCAGCAGAACTAACGTGCCTTTAGTTACACTTCCTCTAAATACACAGGAAGATTTAATAAGCCACTTGATCATGTATTACAAGGTTCATAATTCTCACCAAAGTTCGGTTGCATCTGTGAAATTATGCAGAAATCTTTAAAAATTCATCTTGAAGTTGCCTTCTTTCATAAAGCTCCGTTTCCTTTTTCCTGGCATTTCTTCCAAAATTAAGCTTGTGAAATTCCTTTTTGATTTCCAGAAAGGATTTGTTTTTTGTCTCAGGAATTATGAGGAAGATGAAAGCAGCAACAAAGACGCACTCCAGTAAGAACACCACAAAACAATACTGCTTCAGTCCATTCTGAAAATAAATGTGATTGCAACATATTTCAAGTGTAATAACAGTAGGTTTGAGAAAATAAGCTTTTTGTTTCCATTTACACTTAACATTGCTGCTCAGATGTTTTTCTAAAAGGAGTCATTTAACCTAATCTTCACCTGTAACTTTTTAGATAAAAGACTGTCAAGTGCTGTGCAACAGACTTTTATTTTAAAAATAAGATAAACCATTTAAACAGTCAAATGTCACAATTTAAAGTCAACATTTGCTACTTAGCTGTCACATATTTTTAAGACTATATAATTTAACTTTCTCTGAATATTAATATTTTTCAATACTGTACATTAAAAAAACCAACTATCTTACTGAGAAGCAGAGCTCAGCCATGAAGAAAGGACAGGCAGATCCAGATACCCAGATGCATGCTGTTCCTGTCGGTTTTGCTGTCAAGAATATGTGCTAAAACTAAAAATACAAAGCTGGAGATGAAAACCTGTCTTGCCTTTCTTAATAATCTTCTGCTTACAGAACTGTGTCAGTTCAGCAAGTTCTCAGAGATGTGACTTACTGACCACAGGTATCACCTCAATGTTACTTTGCCATAAAAGCACAAGGCACTATTAAAAAATGTTTTATCTAAATCTCAGTACCTGGTTAAGTTCTTCTGCTTTTGATACCTTCTCTGTTTTTTTTTCATCTGAACATGAACGTTACCCTCCAGTTCATTCCTTTTACTTTTCATTTGTCATGTTATATTGGGGTTTGTGAGGTGTAAAAAATACTTTTAGGAGGGACTGAATCTAGTTAAACTCATTTGAGGGGCAGTGTGCATCCTGGTCAAGTGTCAATTATATATACAAGTGAATATAATACAATACAAGCAATGGGATGGAACCTGGGAGCAGGTGAAATGGAAATTGTGCTGTGCATACTCACCACTATGAAGGGAAAGAGCATTCCAACTGTGAAGAAACTAATCCAGCTCACAGTCCCTGCGATCATGTAGGCAGCAGGACGTGAGGACTGTACAAATAACTCAGCTGTCAGGGTGTTTGTTATGCCACCTGGGGATGGTTCAGAAACAGAACAGAGAATTGTGCTAAATGTCCATTTGAGGTATTTCCAATGCTACAAAAGATTGACTTGCTTTTGAATATGCTACTAGCTGATCTATTATAATTCCTAACAGCACAATTCTGAGGCTACTGCCCTTGCAGGAAGTTTCCCAGTAAAACACAGCCCCATTTCAGCAGCACAGATCAGGGAGCAGGAGTGTAGAACACCTGTGCTCTGAAGGACAGAAGTAAGCCCTCCCTCACACATAACTGCCCCAGAATCATGCATGGTAAGCCTCAGCTGTGGGCTACAGGATGGTCTCACTTGTGTTCCTCAGCCAGAGCAGCAGCAGCTGTGCTGCAAAGGCTTCTTGGCTGTGTGACACCTCAGGCCTCCCAGACCTTCCCCCACTCACACACGCTCCTGTGCAGTACCTGGGCCCAGCCCAAAGCTCAAGATGAAGGCAAATACACACATCATGCTCATGTAAGGCACCCAGGAGTACAGCTCCTGAAACAGAAGACAATTAGAAGGTTTAGTTCAAATTTTGATAACCCAGTTTTAAAGTCTGGCTTAAGAGTTATGTTTCCTTCTGTATTTTATTTCAATTAAGACCAGCAGTCTTTCACAACTCTTTTACAGCCAATTTATTTAACAGTTCTGCTTCAGAGAAATTAAATAGTGTTCATTCAATGATTTGTAGTAAACTGTATCATAGAATTATGTAATCATAGTGTGGGCTGGGCTGGAAGGGGCTTTAAAGCTCAGCTCATCCCATCCCACTCCTGGCCATGGGCAGGGACACCTTCCACTAGCCCAGGTTGCTCTTAGCTCCATCCAACCTGGTCCTGAACACTTCCAGGGATGGGGCAGCCACAGCTTCTCTGGGCACCCTGTGCCACGGCCTCAGGGAAGAATTTCTTCCTGACACCTGATCTAACTCTACTCTCAGTTTAAACCCATTCCCCCTTACTGTGTCACCACTTGCCCTTTTCACTCCTCAGTCACACTGGGTAACAGAAACGAGTCCTTTGCACCTGGTAAGTCAGAGAGAAGGTCAGAACAGTGCACCAGAGCGTCATCAGGAGATAACCCCCAATGATAAGGCATCTTCTTCCCACATAGTCTATCAGCAAACCCTGTGGACAAGATAGAATCTTCTGTTAATATACTGATCTCATTTTTACCAATATTCTTCAAGAAGAATCATTACTGCTTGTATGGCAGGTAGAACAAACCGCTCCTTACACAGGAGAGGGCTGTGAGACATTCACACACTCCAGTGCCAAGTGTCACATACGGGATTTTTTCTGCCACGATCCCAGCTTGTTCAAAAACGTAAGTTGCATAGAAATAAATCTACAACAGAAAAAAAAACAAACCCAAAACCAACAATGAGGTTTTTCTGGTATTTAAAACATTGTCTGGAAACAAAGTCATGCTCATACTAAACATACAGATCAGTGTATTTTATGTTGTGAGTTACTAATTCAACAAAAGCAGCAATAACAATCTGTTAAATTCATGTCTAAATAAACATATTGCTATCCTAAAAGCCAAGAGGATTATTCAACTTACTGAATATGCTTTATATTCTTAAACCAGACACACTGAGATAAAGTGATCCACCTTTATTTACTTTTTCATAGGAATGTTTTTCAGAGGAAGTATCAAGTCATTCTTTAAAAAAGTTTGCATACCAGAAACACAGAAATGAGAAAAAAAAATGAAAGAGAAACACCAAAATAATGCAAGGACATTCTTTCCCACCTATCACGTTTCGCTGAGCTTCTCTATGTGGATCTTTTGTGTTAATAAATGGTTGAAAACCAGGTGGAAATAAAATCATTATTTAAGCTGTTTGTTCATGTGAACTCTTACAGCATTAATGCCACTGAGCTGTTGGCCCATTGTCATCACGATGACAGTGATGAGCTGCCATCTCACAGCACGGTCACTGAATAGCTGCCAGGGCTTCTTGGGTTTCTCCCCATCTAAGGCAAAGCATTCCCGCTGGATGTCTTCCATCTCCCTTCGATACTCTGAGGAGCCATGAAATCGCTTCAAAGCTACAAATAGAAAAAAATCATTTACATTTATCTATTAACCACAATCCTGGGAAATAATCTCTTTCCATAATGACCTAGCTTTTGCTAGGATATGAAAAATCTGCTTTGTGACTTGCTTGTTCCTTGCTGTTTTTCAACATTTTTTGCTGTGGTGGATTTGGAGAATTCTGTGGCATTTTTTCCTTCTTTTTAGAGGAACATCTGATCTTTGAAATATTCACCAGGCAAAATATTTTGTATCTAAACCTCAGATCTTCAAACAGTCTTTTTCTTAAATGACACTCTTACCAGTTTGAGGAGTTTTGCTTAAATTCTAGGCAGATATTGAGTCCTTTGTTATGGCCCTGACTTTAATGTTGCCAATGGGATGCCGTTAGTGAGCTGGAGCAAAGAGAGAAAATCCTTCTCCTAAGGCAAATATAATCAGAAGTCATTTGGATCCCAGAGTGAAATCTTTACAAACTGTCTTAAAATTTAAAGACTATACAGCATCAGTTCCTCTAAAATCTTCATGATTAAATATATCTCAAGTGACAATCTGTCTTCTTAAGGTTAAGAGTAGGAGTTTTGATCATCCT